GCCCGTTTGCTCAGTGTTATTTTGACATTCCACATCATTCATATTTCTTATTCGGAATGTTTTTGACGTGTCATCTAACCCGTGCTAGGTATTGCACGTTGGAAGGTTAGAACTTGGGTATCTTTAGTTTGCACAAGTTTTGAATCCTGAGAGTTGTCCTATATGGGAATTCAACAACTGGTTAACCTTTCGATACTGACGTCCGGTCTGTCAGACATACCCATCCGATTGGGTGCCAAATAATAGGGGTGGGGTGCAATCGCAGATCTGTAAGCCGCAGTACCTCTCGATAGTATCGTGCAGCTTAGGTGTCGTAAGTTTCGTGCGTGTGCTAGAAACCTGTTACAATCTTTTTTGATTTTCGGTGCAAGAGATCGACGTCAGTATTTATAATCACGTTTGACCATACATCCAGCGGTAAGATTTTTTCATTTATGGGGTTTGTCATGGTAATTTTGATTCATTTTAGAAATGGAATATGAGAAAGAACAGCAGAGGTTGTTGAAGTTGATGGAAGAAGCGCTCGAGGATGTTGAATATGACGATGAGGCTGAAGAAACTGAGGATAACTTAGAAATTAGGGAGGAATTCAGTGAAAGTGAAAAAAATTTGGAGAATGACACTGAAACAAATGAGGTGGACGTACAATTTTGTTCGAGAAAGATGGTGTTACTAAATGGCGAAAACATATTTTACAGAGAAGCAATTGGCGAACCCGATCTGTGAATCTTGTGATACACTTGCCGGGAGTAAAATCAAACTTTCGAAATTTCAAAGAACCGGTTGATATTTAGCAATTATTCTTTACCGGAAAATGTATGAGTATCGTAGTAGATAATACAAACAAATACATAAAGGAGGTGAAACATAATTATTCAAGAGAAACACATTGCAAGTCTACGAATATCCAAGAAATGAATCATTATTCGGTTTGTTGTATATTTCAGCAGCAAGGAAATGCAATCACGTTAACGCCAGTGATTTATTCAAAACAAACAGAACCTCTATGGAAATTTTTCGACTGGTCATGCCTCTTTACAGGTTTCGTTTCCTACTGGCCCATATTCGGTTTGACGATAAAGATACCCGAGAAGAAAGACAAAGTATTGATAAACTCGCACCAATTCGGGAATTGTTCGAGTGTTTTGTTTTTCAGTGTAAGCAGCCCTATTATTTGTCCGAATAAGTAACAATAGACGAAAAGTTAGAAGCGTTCAGAGGGAATTGCAAGTTTCGCCAGTACATTCCGTCTAAACCAAATGAATATGCCATTAAGATTTTTGCTCTTGTAGATGCTAAAATATTCTACACAGCAAACAAGGAGGTATATGTAGGTAGACAGCCTCCTTGTCCTTTTGAGGTTGACAATAAACCATTTGCGTTGGTGCAGAGACTATGTGATCCAATTTCAGGCAGTGGACGTAATGTAACAACTGACAACTGGTTCATTAGCGTCGAATTGGCTGACACACTTCGTGATAATCACAAGCTCAGTTTGCTAGGAACTATCCGCGAGAACAAAAGACAAATACCACCAATATTTCTGCAAGGGAAACTTCGTCCTGCCGGAGCTGGTATGTCACTATAGCAGTTCAATAGCTACCTGTTTGGATACTTTGAAAAAAAAAACTGTAAAATCCTGTGATTTCAGTGAAATTTACAAATTTCAAGTGTGTTGCGCTAGCTGGGGATTAGGTATATATTTTTTCCTTCGTTGCATTTTGATAACCCATAATAAAGACAAGTTTTTTGTTATAGCATTGAGAAAAAAAAACAATATTTTTAGTCCACCCTATTAGTTATATCATTTTCTCTGAGTGCAATCATGAAAATATATGTGCAGTAACGTCAGATTCGTTATATTTTATGGCGAACAAGATTAAATATAGAAACATCACTCTGATAAAAAGTAAGTTCTATTCCAGAATTTGTTATATTTATAAATACTCGAACGAATCTTAAAGTCTGTTTCATAATGCTAAATTACAGTCCCATTCGTCGTACTAAGAGAGCCAAATTTGGAGAGCCATTGCTGAAGTTTCAGAACTACATGAAGCAATCTCCATATCAAGAGATCATTACCTCACTTCTTCTATCTGTAGAAAGTGGAACATCACTAAATATCTTAATGACAAGAAAAAAGTTATTTCTGCTAGGAAGAATACTGTTCGTCATTTCCGAAAAATAATTAGGGAAGGAAATTGATAGCTCTTTACAGCTTTGTTTCTGTATCAAGTTACTTCGAATTCAGCTTCGAAGCAAGAATGCCAAACTGACAAAAAAAACTCTTTGTGAGGAGTTATCAATAAATCAACTCAAAAGATCAAATTAATATTACGTTTGAAGCAAACCGTAAATCCACCTTTCCATGTAGGTACAATTAGGAGTATGAGATGTGTGGAACTTTTCCAAACTGCAGCTGCGGCTGCAGCTGCTCTCATTTCTGTCGTGTCATTCAAAGTGCTGATTTTCCACGCACTTTCACTAATGGCTGATTTTGGTATACTTTTTGCGCGATTTGGAAGACTTGGCTTCGTTTTAGCGCTTATCAATACTGTGTGCCAGATTTTTGGTAGATTTTACGTTTCCTCTTCTTTTCTGTTGAAGTTCTTTCGGTGTTTGTGTATTTATATGGCTTCTAAATATATTGTTGTTGAATAATGATCCGACTTTGCTACCCTCTCGGTATTTTCGACAGGGACCATTAGCTTTCGAAGTGGTCAACCTTCAGTAACTTAGGACGAGGATTTGCGGACCTTGGTGGAGACTGATCTATCACAAATGATGCGTGGAATGGCGGAAAAACTGGTTATCAGATCCCATAATGTCTTCGATGGTTCAAAACGTATTGGGAAGGCCATAAAGCTCGAAAAGTGGTACCCCATGATCTGACCGATCGACAGAAATTGTCAGCTGTAGCCAGCAGTGGTCAACAGAAGAGATACGATTGCCCCACGACAATGCCCGACCGCACGTTCCACAAATCACCGCCCGAAAATTGAACGAATTGAGCGTTGGAGTTCTGCCTCAACCACCACACTTCTCAGACTTCTCGCTAGCTGACTATTATTTTTACCAGCACTACGATAACTTTCTCACCGGTAGAATTTTCGCCAATCAGGACCAAAGTCCTGATTGGCCGTGGCCACTTTGCCCGCGAATGTATCCACTTTGCCCGCAATGTATGTTGCATGAAACTTGATTTTTGAAACTGCATTCATCACGAACAAAACTAAGTATATCAAGAGCAAGATTACGGCAAACTTCAGTTATTCTAATTCCGTGTTTTTTTCACAGAAGAAGAACGGTATGGTGTCCAAGGCATTGAGAAAGATCACATATTCCCACTTCATAGGGTGTACACTGTTAAGACTTGCACTCTTAACAGTCCAGTCCAAGTCGTCCAAGGTCTTTGCTCTCAGGTCGGCTCTTTAACATCTGGTGAACGAGGCGTTCTTTCAACTTTTGTTTTCTGTGTTTCGGCTGGAGGTACATTTATAACACCCTTTGTGATTTTACCAAGGCGTAGAATGAAAGTTGAACTGCAAGATGGTGCACCTCCTGGATCAGCTTTTGCATGTCATCCTACTGGTTGGATGCAAATGGTAATATTCACCTTATGGTTTGACCACTTTTTAAAATTTTCAAAGCCAACAAAAGACGACCCGATTCTTCTGGTACTAGACGGTCATGCAACTCACACGAACAACTTAGACTTCATCGAAAAAGTTTTGTGCATTTCCCTCCACTGCAGTCATAAAATGCAGCCATTCGACGTTGCGTTTATGGCACCTTTCAATACGTATTTTGTACAAAGTATTGAAAAGTTCTTAAGGAATAATCCAGGACGGACAGTGACCCAATTCCAGGTTTCCCGGCTACTAGGTGAAGCGTTTTTAAAGACAGCTACACCAGTTATCGCTATGAAAGGCTTTAGAAAATGTGGAATATTCCTAATCGGCATAAATGTGTTCACAGAACTGGATTATGCAACTGCTGAAACAACAGAAATAACTCTACAAGAAGACCCTGCGCCAGGAGAAGAGAACACCATCATACAAGTTTGTGCAACTTCATCTCAGACTGTCAACAATAGTAGCTCAACAGAAGTCATTGGTGGGCTCACGAAGCCTGCACAGGAGCCGAAGAGGAGGACGATGAGTTTATTTGTGATTTATGTAAATACCAGTGATTTCATAGTTTCACATACTTTCAGTAATGCCTATTTTTGTTTGAAACCCTAATACAATCGTTTTGAGTTCTGAAACTAAATGCGTTTTATTTTTTCCATACTACCTAAATCCATTTAGGCAGTGGTCACTTTGCCCTACCTAGTAGCCTGAAGTGGCCACTTTGACAACTTTTGGTAAAGTCAAAATTTTGTACAAATAAGTCTAAAAATCAAGTTGTTTTTATTGTTGGATCAGGCCTAAGTAACCATACTGAATGTTGAAGGGATTTATCAAATGTTTCAAAAAAGTTTAGGGGTGGAAAAAAATAGATGTTCCTTAGGGTGGCCAGTATGCCCACCCCTCACCTAACCAACTTGTATTATTATGTGAATGGGTTCAAAAATAAAGTGAGATTGTTCAAAACGTCATTGGAAGGAATAATTTTTTTTTACTGGGTTGCAAAGAACATTATATACTGAAATGGAAAATTTTGAAGGATGCAACTTTTCTGACCACCTTAAGTACATCGACTAGGTAATTTCTGAATTTGAGCAGCGAACCAATAAACGTATTTTTTTTGAAAACTGTTTTTGTTTTCTGCGGCCCTCCAGCTTCTGATGTAAATTTAATTAGCCCGTGAAGGCATGCAGCTTGGATAGCCTTGGTCTAGAGAATAGTTGATTTCTAGGACCCTATTTTGTTCCTTGCAATCGTCGACGTGTTCCATTCAAAACGTTGATCAAACAGAGATGTCTCTGAGACTATGCCGTTAATGCGTGTACTCCACCGCGGGTCGGCCAATGCTTAAGAGTAATTTTAGAATCGGTGATTACTAATTTTTGACCGACGGCTATGTCGGTACAGTTGGAACGCGGACGCCGCATCCGACGCTTGTCTAGAAATTTGTTGAGTTTTATTCTTCGCGTCTCGAGCTATGAACGGAAAAGGGATGAGGAGGAAAAAGTCTTCTCTTTCTGAAGTTAAAGTGGCTGTTATTGGTGCTCCTGGGGTTGGAAAAAGTGGTAAGTTCAGGATGATGATACATTATTATTGACAAAACATTTTTGTAGGTGATACTGAGCTATGATGTGTATGAACCACTCTAGATTTATTGATGTGTTTTGAATAATGTTCATCACAAAAGTCCAGGCCTACATTAAATTTGAAATATATAAGCAGATTAGAAAAAATTTCATATAGCATAGTGACAAGTATATGGAAAACGATAATAATAATAATCATTCATTTCACAATAGGACTTACCCATTAACAGGATACAGTTTATAATATTTCACACATATTTTACAGTTTAACATTTGAAACTTTATATATAACTTATATATATGCGTCTCTTCTCTCTATTCATTTCAAATTTTATATCTTCACAAATATTTATGTTTATATTCCACATTTTACATCTCCAATTTCACAACGTTCATTGATAGATTAGTTAACTTGCTCATGCACAAGGTTATACCGTTTATGAACAACAAACCGATTTATTTGCTGAATTAGATTGAATAATTGTTATTGTAATTTTATATATTTTCAATAATTGTATATATTATATTGGTGTATGTTTGTTTGTAACCGACTCGTTGGGACTCGATTTTGACTAACTTCAAACGGGCAGATGTATTTTAAAATTCGTACACTAATCAGGAATCGGTGATAATACAATAATTTCATAAGTTTATCTCATTATCCAGATCAGGATCGCCTTAATTGAATAATTTCCTCACACAGCATCTGTGTGAAAGCAAGTAAGACAACTACACTGTCTGTGCATGCATATATATTTTATATTGAAATAAATGGACTTGGAATGGCAAGCCAAACTGGAAAGTGTGAAATAAATGATAGTTTGGAAAACCAAAAAACAGAAAACATTCTGAAATCAGAATGAACCTATTAAAAAAAATATTTTCTTGTAAAAAGCGTGGGGTGCTAATCTGGCAAACAGCGCATAACAAACTATTCAGTGTGAACAAATTATTAAATTTCGAAGTAGAACCCATGTATATTCACTGAATGGATACCTCGAAATATTCTATAGTTGTAAGAGGTCGGTGCAACAAAGATCTTGGGAGTCGCTTGGGAGCATTATAATCCAGATAGTTCCTGAAATTCCAGTTGGGGTTAACATGTGTAATTCTCTATTATAGACATGTATTGTTTCTTGGAAATGAAGCATCACTATCAGCATAACAATGGATATTTAGTACCCCACGCTTTCTTACAATAAAATTTATTTTTTGTAAATTTATTTATTCTGATTTCAGACTCATTGAAAGTCATTAGTTAAATAAAGCCATAGGTTGGGTTAGGTTAGGACCAAAGTAAGTAGGTCTATTCGACCCTCCACCGCAACCTGCAAGGGTTTATTGTGGCTCACACCTATCCACATTCGGCCAAATAAACCCAGCTACTTAACGAAACCGATATGTTTGTATTGTGAGTTGTCTTCCAGGTCAGATGGCAAGAGTAGGGCTCTCCGAACTCTAGAAAACTGATTCGGTCCCTAGTGGGGCAGGCACAAAGTATGTGCTCTGGTGTTCCACCATTTTCCAAACAGAGGCGACACACACTGTCTTCCGACAGTCAAAGTCTCTGCATATGATGATTCAAATGACAGTGGCATGTAAGAAGGCCTGTTAGACATCGTAGTTCTTCCCTACTGTGATCCAACAACTGTTTGGTATCAAGCTTCGAAGAGTGAATAAACGCCTTGAAGTGACCAATCCTGGAAGATTCTGCCAGAAGTCTATATATCTTTTTACCATCCAGGTGTTTGGCAAAGCCTGAAGCGATGCCAGTGACATGTTCTGATCCAATGAAGCTGCTTGTAGCACCCTCTTTTGCAAGGGAGTCAGCAGCCTCATTCTTCTAGGCCAGTAAGGCCAAGAATCCAGAGACAATCTCTTATATTCCTATCGAGGAGAGTTGTTTTTGGCAATTTGCTACCAATTTAGACGTTGCTTGGTAGAGGACAAGATCTTCCAACGCCGCGCCACTGAGAAAATGTTTATTGACTTGTGTATGAGATTGGATTCTTCCAATGTCTACGCACACAATTCAATACCGAAAATATCCGTTTGAAATACAGTCGCATAGGTTCCTAGGCAGGTTGATATCTCTGTCCTGGGTCTGCAACTGAAAACACCTGCACCGGAAACGGAAGGTGTTTTTGATCCATCTGTGAACCAACAACTATCTGCTCTTAATGTTTCGTTCTCACGGAGGATCCAGTGCTCTCTACTCGGGAAGAGTACGTTATAAGGCAGTTCGTAGTTGACAGTTGGAAGCATGAAGTCTGAGGTAATTTCCAGAATGCTGTGACTTCCAGTGTCAACCAACAGTCTGTTGCACTCTGCATTAAATTGATTTGTGCAATTGGCAATGTGCACAAATCTATATGCAGTCCATCTAGCCTCTCTCTCTCTCCAGAAAAATGTGGAAAGGGGGTAGATCTAGAAGGATCTCTATGGCCGCTGACGTTGTGGTACTGATAGCACCACTGATGGCTAGACAAGAGTGTCTCTGTAAGCCAGACCGCTTTGCCTGGGCCGTTTTTCAACTCATAAGACTCATAATCGATGTTGAACGCAATCTCAAATCAGTTTAAATTTTTTTTCAATTTTTCAGTTTGTGTTGCAGTTGAAGCGTGTTTTTTCAACTTTTAAAACTATTATTTATTCAACTTAACTTTGTCCAGTATATCTGTTTAATATGTTTAAAAATATGTTTCTCCGGTAACCAGCTGTCGCCCTTCTAATAAAGAAAACTGTCAAGAGTTGAAACTTGTGCGAGCTGAGAAGTAACGAGGTCTTACCTTTTAACGTATGATAGTTTAATGAGTGGAGTCGATAAACATCAAAAATAGGGAAAATTAATTCCTAATCGGAAATTACAATAACGCAAGCAGATGTAATTTGTCTCTGAGGTTCATAATAGTACAATCCAAGAATTCAGGAATTCAGACGGAAGGTCATTATAATATTTTTTAGTATTATATAAAAAGCTCCGTTCGAAAATGGCTGTTTTTAGTTTAGGCATAGTGAGCAGGCACCTATTTCTATTTTTAATTTCTTCAACAAGTTTTTCCTTTGGAGAATTACTTTGTGATTGGCTGTATGGAGGTGAAGTTTCGTGGCTTTTTGTATTTTTGAAATTTCGACTGGTGTGATCGAAGTCACGAATTACTTTGAAAAATCTCAGGCAGGAATCTCAAACCACAGTCCATCCAAATTCCCTTAAGTAGATACGAGATGTTGGATTATTTGGAAAAAGCTCATTAAATCCCACATTTTTTTTATCAAGATGGAGTAGCAGTAAGCCAAAAACTCTCTTTCCGAAAAATTAGTCACTCATAAAAATATTACAATTTCAATTTAAACTCATATTATATTCCAATATAACCTTATTATACGTTTGTGGAGTGAAAATACAAGAAATAACCACAGAGTAAAAAGAAATAAAAAATTGAAATAAGCAAAAAATTCAAAAAAAATTCAGTATCCAGTGATGACTGGAGTGATGACTGAACTATTTCTCCGAGAGGTGACTATTTATAGGTCAATCGACCGCTTTCATCTATACCCTTTTCCCTCTCTGCGCTTCACCAGTTTAGCGGGAGTTGAACTTTTCGCGGGAGTTGACCGTTTATCCGCTTAATTACAGATTTTCATATGTTGCGTATCTCTACGATAGCTTGCTTGAGTACATTGTTGAGAAACATATATGCAGCTTCTTTGAACTTCATCTCAAACCAGTGTTCTCCCCTGTGGATGATCTCAGCTTGAGACCACTTGTTTTTGTGTTGATGAGTCCAAACATGCTCTTCTTTTCCCGATTTGTTGGTTTCCCCGTGCTATGTGTTTTTTCTGTGCTTGGCAATGTGGACTTTCAAAGGCCTCTTAGTTTCACCGATATGGGATTTGCCGCACTTACAGGTATCCGTTAATTACAATTTTTGGAATTGCAGTTTGCCTTTGGTGGCCTTCTACGGATGGTGTTTCCGGATCTGAAGCAGGTTCTGATGTTGTACTTGGACCCAATTCTTCTTTTTCTCTCCGACAATCCTCTGATCTAGCCAAAGTCTTTTACACCATCACTTTGGACTAAACATTTCATTGAAGATCTAATCTGATGATGCCTAGTTCCTTCTCGTATTACAGACCCCGAAAGCACGTTCCGCTATGGTCTTGATGGTTCCTCTTTCTGTAGATAGAGGGTGGTTGGAATCGTGATTCATATAATACCCCGTTTGAGTTGGTTTTTGGTATATAGATGTTTACCACACAGTGTTAGTCCTCTTCATCAATGCGTTCAATAGTGATAATTCGTTCTGGACTTCCTTTCCCATTGTGAAGGTGATCATAACCTGCTGATGGAAGATTTTACGCTGTTGATGTGCTTCAGGAAGGTGTCTAGTTCTGTAATCCCATGGTTCCATACTATAAAGGTATCGTCAACGTATCTCAACCAGATTTGGGGCTTCTTGTGGGCTTCTTCAAATGCTAGAATTTCAAATCACTTCATATATATGTTGTCTGTAGCTGGTGGAAGTGGCGATCCCATTAGCAGTCTCTCATCTTGTTATATTTTTATTTATTGAGGTATATTCAATGTTGAAGTATAAAACCAATAACTTACATTTCCAATATCAGATTTCATTCATATGTATGATTTCATTAGACTTTAGATTGTAAACTCCTCATAAGATTTACAGATTTCATTGAATATTCCCGATGTTGAGTATATTTTATCTGTCAGATTCAATATGATGCGTATTTTATAAAACTATTTCAGCGCATATGAATCATTATTACTATCATTATTATTATTATAGCTACCAAGTTTCTGAATGACACTTTGATAAATGTTAAACGACAGCCTGTTTTTATCAATGAAACTATCAAAAATTAGTATTTCCTAAACGATTAATAAAACATTTCCACCAAACATGCAACACATCGTAACCAATGAAATCAAAAGTATTTATATTGATGGCAAGGTGATC